ATTTTCTTGAAAATGTTTTTGAGTTGTTTCTTTAATTTGGGTGTTATGTTGTTTTTAGTGTATTGTGTCAGCCTGCCTAATTGCTGTCTAATGTCATTTATTTGTGTTTCTATTCTTCTCTGCCAGGCAGACTTGTGATAGAATTGTGTTTTGTGTGTATCTGTCTGCAATTGTATTATCAGTCCATGGTGTGTCACTACTGTAACTGCCCCAGCATAAACTAATGTATGAATATGTGAGAGTGTAGAAATTAATTGGATGACTACATCCATTTAATTTCTAGTGTGATAGTAAGTGAGTGTTTACATAATTAAAGTGTTTTTCCTACTACCTTTGACGTGTTCATTTTTGGTATTCGTGGTCTTTGTGTGGGATCTGTACCAGTATATTTAGTGAGTGTTTCCTGAAATATAAGTGAGAGCGTATTAACTAAATCTACGTTATCAGTGGTGGATGAGAAAGTGTCTGTACTATCACTAGTGGTACAACTACCACTAGTGATAGTACAGAAACTTCCTCATCCACCTATGTGTGTGCTGTAATCAGTGCTTGTTGCTTGATTATCCTGACAAGTTACGTGATCTTCATTAATGTTAAATGTCTGTTGATGTATTTGATCAGCAACCTGTTGTTTGATAAGTTCAAGTGTTGTTTGTGGGATAAGGTTGTTGCGTATAATTGTTCTTTTTTGATCAAAGACCCTTTGTTCGGTGCAACGAGTGAGGATATTGTTGTGTGAATCTATGGTGTAGTTGTTGTCTGTACGCTGTCATATTTGTTTCCAGTTTTGTGATAGTGTAGTAAGTACGGATGATAAACTTCTTTATTTTTATTGTCCATTTCATCCGTTGGCGTGGTTTTTCAGCCTTTGTGGTCTGTGGGTGCATTGCCACAGAAACACAAGGGCTAGGTTGAGTCCTCACTTCTGTCTAGGGCATTGCAGTAGCCATACTTGGGCCACCGGTAACCAAAGGAGACTGTGGCCTATTTTTCAAACGTGAGCCTCTGCCTAATTCACAAACGCAGATCTTGTTAACCGGGCGACGTCTGAGCGGTATCACACTTAGATCTGGTTACTACCATAATAATTATCTCCACAGAATATGGGTGTGGTCACTCAGCTTCATTTCTCCCATAGACCTTACTGCAAGGGTGTCCCTACCAGGAGCTTGTGCTCCAGTCTTCATTGCCCTAAGGATGAGTAAAATTACTGGGCTCTCCCACCACGACCAGGTAGTGACCACGGGAGAGTTGTTATTATAATTATTATTAATTTTTGACTTTTTTCACCCCGTTTGTTACTAAGTGCTTATTTCCAGACCATCATAAGTTTGGACCAGACAAACAAAATTTAAAGGTAAATTTTCAGCATTTTCAATGCTTGAATAATATTGAATTGTGGAAAGTATCCAAAATTAAATAAATTTAGAAATTATCCTCAAATATTACCTCAAATATGATAACAAATCCCAGCCGAACTGCAAGTAATCTCCAGAAGAATGGTCTAAAATTGCCCTCCTCATCTCTATACCCGTGATACCTATAACAAAAATTCTGCAATATTATTAATGGAAGTATCACAAAAATGATCACGTCAAGCATTATTTTCTTCACTAAATTAGCTTGAAACATGTACTTAAAGCTAATTTATGAGCCTATGCTACTGTTATTTACCTGCAACTTTCTAGCAGAGAGCTGTTCAATGACCAGGACAAGCTAAAGTTGACATAACCTTCTAAATCCCAGCTGTAGTCATATTGGTAAAGTAATTTGGGCAAGAAGTCTGAGGTAAAGGCAATCAAGAAGGCCTGGAAGTGAAAAACTATTAAGAGTTTAAGAATAATCATCAATGATGAAGGCATAATGACTTACGTTACTGATGACCGCCAAATGAGCAAGTAATTCCAGAATACGGAACCATATTCCGATATTCTGAGCTCGTTCGGCAACTGTTCTGCGAGTTTCGCATACGAATTTCTGTGCATCCAAGCGAATTTCTACCCAATTATTAAGTAAGGCGAAGAGGGGAGCAAGAGGGAAAGCTGCCACAAAAATTGTGATGAAACCAAACTGCAAAACTAGGAGAAAACATGTTTTCAGATCAATTTCTTTTACAATACGAATAACTCTTGGAAAATTTTTCAATGATCTCAAAGATGAATTATTCTCAAATTTCCGTTTGCTTAAAATGGTTCTGAAAAACTCACCAATTTCTAAATATTCCTGAAACAATCCTTCATTTTCGATGAGTTGGTAGTCTTCTTCCCAACGTGTAATACTAATCCCACTCGTTAACTTGGTTCTCTTGCGATGAAACCATGACTTTATTTTCCTAAAATTTATTGAAATCTAGTTTAAAATCCTTTCTGAATCTATCCTCACTGTGAAAAATATCTTACGGGAGCAGGATCTCTTGAGCATTGTTGATCACTTGCTTCCCAATCATGATGATCGCTAACTGTTGGGCTAGTTCCATCAAACAGCCACTACTATTGCACTGAAACGAGTAAAAATTCCTTATATACAGTATTCTATACATTTCATCCGAGAAATTATAGAAACAACTTACATCTTCGTTTCTTAAACCCATCAGGTAGGTATAATGGTCCGGATAGCCAACGAATCTAGAATAATTTGCATAATTTAAGATGGCAAAGGGGATTTAAAACTCATACAAAAATATCTTAAAGGTTTAACACTTGTACATGAAATTCTTTGAGTTTCCTTATGTTAGAACTTACCTTCCCTTGAAGAATGCGATATAAAAGATAGACGAATAGTAATTAACAAATTGGAAAAGAAATACTTTGAATGTCAAGTTATTGTCGAAATCTGTTTGGGTTCGGTGCATCTCTGAAAATGTTTAAATATGATCAGAGGAGGGTTAAATTTAGTACAGAAGATACGTAAGGAGTTCGAGTTACCCCATTGAGTTAGCTTGAGTGCCAAGCTCTCGTATACTTTTCCAAGAGCCATGATGAGTATGAGATTAAAAACGGCTCCCGTAGAACTGGTGATGACAGAAGTCATGCCTAAAAATGTCCTATTTTTCAGCAGAGGGATGGATACCAAAGTCCTGTAGATAATGACTGCTATTATAAATATCATCACCAAAGTCATCTGCAAGAAAAAAGCCAGCCTTATTTTATAAGATAATTGTTTTTTCTTCTATAAATAAAATAACAACTGAAACTGATATCCATCTGTGGATGTTTTTATTGGTTCACATTTTCCAATTCAAATCATACTATTTGATAAAACTGAATCTGATTGGCTGAAATTCACATCTGAATTTTATTATTGACATATTTTGAATTTACATCCCGTAACTGGTTTAAGTTGAATCCAAATTTTATTCTTCACGGAGTTTGAATTCAGGTTATCTGACTGACATAGTTGTGTCCATTTAACAACTAGGGAATTGAAAGGAGGTGCTTTTTCTTTGTAAAAGCTGTTTATTAATTACATAAACCTCATATTATGCGCATTAGAACTCTTACAAAACACTTGTCAAGTTGCACGGGTAATCTGCAAAACTGATTACATAAATAAAAATACAGCACGAGTTGCCTAAGTTTCCAGCAAAAAAATTTGAGCGCCATCTCTCATGATATTTTTTCTTGTAAAAAACATCTTCTATTATTAATTATTGTAAAATAGCAAAAAGCTTAATTTGAGGGTATAGATGAGTTTTATGAAAAAAAGAATTGTAAATGCTAATAACTAATAAAATCATATGTTCGACCCCACTAGAAATATGACGCGAATCCATCTATCTCCCATTCCGCTATCTTTTAACCACTAGAATTTAACAGCGTCAATCCTCCTATTACCCAAACCTCCCTGCAAAATTTCAGAAATTTTCGACAAAAGGCACAAGATTTATTAAGCTTCGAATTGAGTGAACAAAATAGTATCCCCCACATACAAACAACCGTGGCTACAGAAAAAATCCGCAAAGTTTTGTGCATTTCTCCACGTTTCGAGACGTGTAAAAGGTCTTGGGGAGTCATTTTTGGCCGATTGCCATACTTTCCCTCTGTTATACACAACAGCCGAGAAAGTAAAAATGAAAAAAACTTTTAAAAAATACTCGAGTCACTGAAATCATCAGTAAAACTTGTTTTTGTAGTGTAATGAATAGCTAGTAAGGATGCAAAAGAGTTTCATAACAACATCCCCACACGTGAAGTAAAATTCCTCACACTTCTCAAAAATCTCGTCCTCTATATCCACATTCTTCAATTTGAGGAGTCCTTTTACTTCCATATACCTTTATTACAGAGACGTCACCAAATTTGGTATCGAAAAAAGTCGCGTGGGGTGAATAGAAACGTCCTGTTTTGTTGCGTTTCTATTTATCTCACCATCGATACAGCGCAAAAATAGATCAAACGCATTCAAAATATGAGTGATTTCAATGATAATTTAATGAAATGATACTAAAACAATTTTTTACATGGAGTCTTATACTATGACACTTAGCAAAAAAATTTGTCAAACACCAAAAGCGTGTATCCATCAAAACTAGAATAATGTTGCAAGCCCGTGTCCAAAAGATAGCGTGAAGAATTTTATAATTTGCTAGTTAAATTTTTTGTCATATACGTACAAAAGTTTCTTGCAGTTTAATTTCTATTCATCTCATTTTATGGTATAGCGCATCACTTTTTTAATTACAAAAAGATAGCGACTCTGTCTATCTAACTGATAGCTTCTTACAATAATTCACTTTTAATAGATAAGATATAGCCCAGAGCTCTTTTTATATACTTTACCATGTTTCCACGCTGTGTAGGCCTATATTAATTTTGTTTTATCCGCTACACCATTGTATAGCTGTTTTACAGTATTCAGAACTATGGGTAAGAAAATTAAAATGATTAAAGCCGCTTACCATGATACAAATGACACCGACTCCAGCAGCCATCCTCTGTCGACGGATGGAGTTCGGAAATGATGGTTCCTTAATTCCAGTTATTGGATTTCTCTCCACAAAAGGAGCCCTTGCGGCGAAATCTGGACGGGGCCTCTCCTAAAATATGTAAATTAGGACTGTTTAACCGTGTCGAACTCGGTGTAGGAAAACAATGAGTGAATTACCTCCTCCTCCTCAAAATCCATGCAATCCCAATGATGGGCGAGACTGGCACTTTTTCTTTTCCAATGTTCTAGAAACGTCACAGCTGAAAAAAATATATACACAGTCAAATCTCTGAACAACGGCCACTGGCGAGAACATAAAATGCCTGTTGTTTGGAGGTTATTTTGTATAAATTTTTGTTCGACGTTCCTTCAAAAATGGCCGCCGTTCAAAGATGGCCGTCACTGGAGGTTCGACTGTGTATTTATATATATCCCGTTATTCGTGATAATTTTTGTAAGAAATTTTTAAGGTAGATTCGAGTACAGTCGACCCCCTATAACACTGTTGATAATTCCGTTTTATATGAATTCCATGTTGTACGAGTCACTTAGATTTACAAATACGTGAGCCGTTCACAGCCTGGCATTTGTATTTGTAAATCTAAGCGATCGTACAACATGGAATTCATATAAAACGGAATTATCAACAGTGTTATAGGGAGCCGACTGTAATTTCTATACTAAAAGCTTATAGCACCGCGTATACCGATAGCTTTTGTTGTACTTACCCCAGAATGAGACGAAAACTGCATAAAAAACGGTTCCTGGATGATCGAACAAGTAAGATAACTTGCTAAAAAAACAAATGTCGCTGAGGTACCAGAAAGGGCAACCGTCACACCACGGACACATTTTATACTTCTTCTCACTTTGGCATACCTCGTTACTGTTTGAAAAAGGTAATGATATTTGTTTCAAATCTACTGAAATATGAAAAAGTATTTTGAAAGACAATGACACATGCACTTACGAGGGTGAATCCTCTTTCATGGTCAACACACCATAAAGAAAGACGATTAAACCGACTACTGCTGCAGGTAGCAACCAACCCGTGTAGAACCCTTCAAGAAAATGAAGAGTTAAAGATAAGAATTGATGCAGAGATGCACACACCTAATTACGTTACACACACCTAACCATGCGAAGTAGATTCCAATTTTCTCTCCAAAATATTCTCTAATGTGATCTAGAGGTTGATACTTGTACCACCTTCCCCATCTGGCCCAATATTCGTATAAGATTTGCCTCCTGTTTAGGCAATCGGGCAAAACGTAGTGAGTGGGTTTCTGATAAGGGCCCTGTATGCGAATGAGTTAGTTAATGCTCCTACGTAGGTTGTCACCGAAGATTCGACACAGATACTCACGTCATGCAGTGGGAAAGCAGCAGTATAAACTCCCTCTTCCACCAATCTATCTATTCCCAGTTGAGCTCTTCTCCTCTTCCCATACACAGCGGTTTGAAGTATTTCTTGCACTACTCGGATCCTTTGAGTCGTGGTAAAATACTCTTCCTGGTTCTCGCTTCCTAGAAATCTATTAAAACCTTATCATTCGAGACGTTTATGGATAAGAACACATAACAAGACGATACTCACTTGTCCAATTTGGAAGCTTTAAATCTGCACGTGTAGTAGTCCAGGGGTTTATTGGGTATGTCTGCGTACATGATGTTGGGTATTCGCAGTGTACGCAGTATGCGCTCGGACCAATTGGTGCTAGGATTGGGATGAGCCTAGAGAAGAGAAGATTGCTCGGAATCATCAGAAACTGTGAAAGTGCATTGCAAGCAACTTATCTCACCTGGAGAGGAGCCCTCATGCATAGGATCTCCGCATAGTAGACGAGCACTTGCCAGGGTGCAGAAAGTTTAATGAAGTGTACGATTTTCCTGTCACCATCGACCACTTCCTGTTTCAAAGAATAGAATTTTCTGAATTTACTAAGGTTTTCCAGATTTAAATCCCGCATCACTAACGCTAACATGCTTTCAAGTTAATATGTTTAACGTTGATTTTCTAAATTCGGAAGCAAGGTATGTTGCTGATAAGCAAGAATTTGCTTCTATATTTCTTACTACTTTCTATTAATAAAGGAACAGAGGAGTAAGAATTATAGAAAGGTGATAACCACAAGAAGTATTAGAATACTAAGTGATGCTGTTAAGAAGAAACTTAGTAAAAGAGTTGGAAAAAGAGAAAAGATGCGGGTAGTTTCTAACATACGGACAGCTACGATGCCAGATTTTCTTAATTATGAATTATTTAACAGGTTTCGAATTACCTCTTCCATGTCCAAGCCTGCTTTGCGGAGATTCGACATGAATTTTTGTCGCCACATTTCGTGTTTCTGTGATTTTCTCATGGATTTTTGTATCTGTTGATTCTTGATGTTCTCATCACTCACTTCTTCGTAGACCAGAACAAAATCTGTAACATGAATAATGAATTAGGTATTTAGAAACTGTTCGTCAGTCTGTCAATCCGTAAATTTTTGCTTTGAGGCTAAACAAGCTTTTCTCATTCTAAAAATCGATCTAAATGATTGAGAAATTATGCTACACTCTAAAGAATTAAAAAATAGAATATTTCGTTGGAAAATATCTTTGAATAGATGGTAAATTAGAAAAAGTAAAGGGAAGGTGTGTGAAGGTAGGAAAAATAATATTGAATCTTCCTTTGACGTCTGGATAAACAAGTGAACAGAATTTATTTTAGAAGACTGTTCATTAAATTGACGATTTCTGTTGAAAGAGAGAAAGACAAGGAGAGAAGTAAGATGTCGTTGAACTTTCCACTTATTGGATTTCGTCCAGGAAAAGAAATTATGAGGCTTCTCTTGAACGAAAGTCATCTTTTCTCTCATTTGTATCAACGTGGAGAAAGTATCAATAATAAAAAAAAAACCAAAAGAAAAACTCATGCTCAAATCTAAATTTATATAATTTAATCTAATTTTCCTACGATTTCTACAAAGGTATAAAAGCCATCCATAGTAGATTTTTTTCAGCCTGCAGCAATCCCTTATTTATAATAAAGTAAAAATTTACCTATTTTTCTCTTTCCATCTCTGAAGTAAGTAGATTTGTCATCTGCAGGAGTTGGAGCCATTGTCAGGCCCAAATCTGTTGTTGAAGTGTCTGTATCTCCCTGCTTCTCCGAGACATTTGCGATTCAATAGATAAAGAGGACGCTAACAATGAGCAACAAGTCATAGAAGGAGCCTAGATAGAAAAGTACTCACCAGCTGATCGTGGTGGATGATAAACTCCCCATCTTCAGTAGACTGTTGAAAGGAGCCGTAAGATTCTCTATTGTTGTCAGTTGGCCCATTCAACTCGTACTTCTCAGACTTAGCCGTTTTCGGCATCTTTATCTCAGGTCTAATTAATAAAACACAATAAAAAAGTATCTTTTAATAAGAAAGATATACATCTAAGTCGTATCCAGCACAAGTTTTCGACCCTTGAAAGAGGAAGAAAAGAAAAAACTAAAGATTTTTCTTAGAAATAAGTCAGAATAAACAACAGAAAATCGATAAAATAAGGGTGAATGTGTAGAATTTCTGAGAATTTTCTGAATTTTTCCTTATTTTGTGTGAAATTCTGCAGGTATTTTCAAAATTGTTGTTTCGTTTCATTGTCTTCTGGTTTCGTATTTTGAAAAAGATAAAAAAAAACAATCTTTAAAAATATATTAAAAACACTCTTTTATCGCAAAAATTCTGTTTATTTTTTGATATTTTCGATTAAAAAACGTTCATTTTTTCTATATTAAGGTGTAGAGAATACGCGTAAATAGCTACGAAACTCTTTCAAAAATAGAGATAATTGTATAAATGTTTAGCCTTTAAATCAAATTAATATT